ATCACTATGGTCACAGATGAGGAGTATAATGATGCATAACTGGTTAAATTTCTAAAATTATGAGCCACAGTAAAACTATTAATACTAAACAGTTATCTCAGTACTGATGCTATAGGCAATGTAACAATATTTAGAAACACTTAAGGAGATTTCATTACCACGATTGGACAGTAGATATCAAAGGTTAAAAAAATCTGAATGGAGATATGTATCATACATATATGCCTTAAAAACATAATATAAGAAAAAAAAAGAGTTATAGTTCCCCTAGGCTCAACTCACACAGGTAAGCCTATTCTTCATATGAACTTATATCTATATTCAATTATAGCTGTTGGTAATGCTTTAGATTAGAACATCCTAATGACACAGATTTCCTGAATTTTGAAAATTCGGTTTGACTTATAGTTGCAATAAAACTGGCAGACTGACCAGCAAGATAAATCCCTCTTAGGAGGTCTACTAGTACTTCTTGTCCCTCTAGTATGTGTAAAGCTCTCTGTCTTAGCTTTACTTTGGCCTGATCACAGCCATAGGTAACAGAATGTCTTGTGAGTATTTTATCGGTTCAGCTTTTGTAGAATAGAACATTACATTTAGTAAAGAAATTAATCTGCTATAGTTAAGAAAAACAAACCACCAGGAAAAAAGTAATTTAAACCAATAGTTTAAAATATTTGTACTTTGATTATGCTTGCTTCTTGGCAATGCATGTTGTATGCTCCCCCCAAAACCTTGATTGTGAGAATTCCATGTTAGTAAGAAGCCCTATCCAAGCTCCATTAAGTATTTGCATTTAAGCTCTGGCTATAAATAATTTAATTGCCACCAGTAGTGTTTCTGGATCACTAAAAGGCTTGAGTCACCAGTGTTAACTTTTCAGTATTCTGGAATAGTTAGTCTGAATGTGTTCTTCAGCTGCTTGAGGCATAAAAGACTAAGAATACTTTGACCTGATTTAATTCATGCCCATAGAGATATTGGTATGCTTTTTAGATTTATTTTTAAATCTTCATCTTTGCAAAACATGACAAGAGAGCATAAAACATATTTCCAATCCTAGAGTCTGTGGCAATATAATCACAGCATGCACATAAAGATGTGATATGCTTGTATGCCAGCTATGGAGGATGGTGAGTCAGCTTATCCAAAGACAAGACTGGGTTGTTTATAAATTAAGTAAACAATAATGGTGCCAAAACACTCTCAGCCAGCATTTCCTTAGTATAGTGACCTATATCATATCAAACTTTGATGCAGTTCTTCTGAAGTTTATATAACAGTGGTAGTGCAGGCTATTTCACAGCAGACTCAGGACTGAATGAAGAGCAAATTTAAAGTCTGTACAAACTCTAAATATAGAGATGGCCACAGTTTAAATGTGTACTTTTCAAGCAAATGGTTTATATAAGAGCATTTAGTCATTAAGTCACCTGCAAATTTTATTAGAAAAATGTTACTTTATGTAAATCTTAGGAAAAACATGGTGTTCAATGTAAAATTTTCTTTAGATGGGCCATAAAGGTGAGCCCTGAGGTTCATACAGAGCATAACATGTCTTCTGTTATGCAAAAATTGAAGCTTATTTTTGTTTCAAGGAACAAATGAAAGCCTCCTTATGGATCTGCCTGACCACCATGCCACTAGCTCAGTGGTTCTCAACCTTTTTAATGCCGCGACCCCCAACCGGTCGTAAGTTGAGGACTACTCAACCGGTTGTAAGTCGAGGACTACTCAACTGGTGCGGCACCATTTGCAGAATGGAACTTTTGGCAGGCTCAGCAGGGCAGAGACAGCCTGGACAATTCCTATTGGCTTTTGAAAGCCAATAGAATTAGACTCTATTCAAGAGAGTCTATTCTATTGGCTTTCAAAAGCCAATAGAATAAAAGGGAGTAGCACAGCTAAGGAAAAGGGGAAAAAAATGGCGGACTGTGTTGTTTGGCAACCCCCGTGAAATGGTCATTCGACCCCAAATGGGGTCCCGTCCCACAGATTGAGAACCACTGCACTAGTTAATGAGAGGATCATAAAAAAAAAACAGTAGGGGTGGAATCAACCAGACTATTGCAATTTGCCCCATTTGAGTTGTCAAGCAGGCTTTTTAACTGCCGCTTTAATATGCTGAAATTATTCCTGGATTATGCCGTATCCTTCAGATGGTCTACATCTGGACAACTCTGATTTGTCATTCTAGGGGGCAAAATGTGATGGCTTTCTGTCTGTGAAAAGAACAACATCAACCCACCACTCATGTTTTGAACAGTACTACTGTAGTAACAAGATGTAATGCAGTGGTCCAGCAAAACATTAACTAACTTACTGTAAAAAAACAAAACAAAAACCTCAAGCCACTATCTGCTTTCATTATAAAACTGAACACCTCTGCATCTTGCTTAGTCACATTTGCAATGAACCTATGCATAAATGGCAGCAGTGAAAAACTTTTGAAGGGACCTGCACAGATATGAATATTGTCATTTATCCATCTACAGGAAAAACATAGATTAGTAACTATGCATTTGAGAAGTATCACGAGAACAATGTACATATGGAAACTGCTGTATTGGAAAGAATTTCAGATTGTGAAGCATCCACAAATTTAATTTAAAAGTCTTAACCCCCTATAATTGGGCTTCAAATCTGAACAAAATGATTTCTGCATTTTTGTCGTTGATCTTTCTTTCTTTTCTTCCTTTTTTCTTTCTAAATATTAGAAAGTTTTTATTCTACATTCAAAATTCTAATAAAATCTAAAATAACATTTAAAATGGTTTCTTTTTGGTTGTAATATGACAACTTTGTACATTTTAGATACTTTGTATATTCTTTTTTATATTGGATACTAATAATTTATGTACAGTAACTGCATCTAAAAAGGAATCTTGTGCATATTGTGCCTCTATGCTTTGCATTCATTCAAAGATTCTAGATAAGAAATGAAATTATTATCTCCCTGCACATACATACATACATGTACACACAAACACACATGCACACACAACCACAGGTTTTAGAATACATGTCTGAAGAAATCCAGAAAAGAATATTCAATTTCAGATTGATCTATGAGGCAGTAGATTCTGGACACAACTGAAGTAAATGTGCCACTGTAGGAGGGGGTACCAAATCTTACATAACATATAGCCCTGCATTAATTTCCCATCACAATTTTTAAGGTTATTTTTAACCAGTTTGGATCAACAAGGTAAGTGGGCAGGATTCTAGGGAGGTACTTTTCTGACCTATAACTGTTACACAAAGGATTCCTCCGTGGATTTTGGCTTCATTTTCCTCAGGACTTCTCTGAGCCTACTTTTTCTGATGATTTATCCAATAGTTCACAGTTGCCTTTCTTTCTTTCTTTCTTTCTTTCTTTCTTTCTTTCTTTCTTTCTTTCTTTCTTTCTTTCTTTCTTTCTTTCCTTCCTTCCTTCCTTCCTTCCTTCCTTCCTTCCTTCCTTCCTTCCTTCCTTCCCTCTCCCTCTCAAATCTGCACTCAGCTAATTCGATTGCAACTTTGGAAACATGTTTCAGCCACTGGCTCAAAACCACAGGTCCTCAACATTTATATATAAATTGTATTTCACCTAGGATAATCTGCATACAGAAAAATTCTCTGAGATGACTGTCACCTTAACTCAATCTTTTTTTGTCTCCTGAAGCTGCACTAACTACAACGTTATATGGTACCGGTATAAAACTCAAACAGAACTAAGATGGCCACTGTTCTAGTAAGAAAGCATGCTCAATTAAAATGCACTTTTGGAATGTCTGCATGGAAGAGCTCTAAAAAAGTAATATCCTCCCCCTCTTGACCCCCCCCACAGAGAGAGAGAGAGAGAGAGAGAGAGGGAGAGAGAGAGAGAGAGAGTTAGGAGCATATTTATATGCATTCCATATTTATCAATTTGTGCAATAGAAATATAATAATGCTTCTGTGTTCTTTAACTTTTTTTTTAAATCTTGAAATGCATTAGTCTGTCTCAGGGTATTATTATTCAAATGAGCGAAATAGCAGGTAATATGAATATGACAGATAAATATAGTCTCCCAAATTAACCTAAGAATTACTTCAGAAATGCTATAAAATGTATGCAGCCATACATTTTAAGGCAATTTTCTAAAAAAAATAAAAAACAACCTTTGATTATCTGTTGCTCCTCCTATTTGGAGAATTAAACATCAGTCTGGCTACCAAGCACAAGCAGCCTGCTTTGCAAGTCTGGGAGGCATTGGTTTATAGGAAGTGGTTTTGTCTAGATTTTCAGATTCATTTTGCTACGGAACATTGCATGTCACAAAGTGATAGAGCTGTCTATAGTTTGTGAAAGAAGGAAAGAAAATTGAATTATGGCCTGCCATAGAAATGATTTATTACAGTAGGAAAAAAAGTTCCTTGGTACTTCAGGGAAAACCTGAACACATCAGCATACAGACTAAGGGATAGTACAAGGAAAATATAGAGGATTTTATATTGGACGTTATTCCCTGTCACAGACCCAGTTCTGACTGGGGTTTTCAACTTAGTTTATGTTTTTTGAATCTAACAGCTGTAAGAATCTGATTTAAAAGGCCCAATACAAGTGTTAGAGTAAACAAACTATTAGTATTTGTATACATACCAATTCCTTGTTTAGCAATCAAGTTACATTCCAATGACCAGATCATTAAACAAATTGGCCACTGAGGGGAGAAAGGGAAAGAGTGAGATGGGGGTAGGGTCACTGGTTGCTACTGCCTCATTCAGATAAAGTACAGCTTTATTTTATACAGCTATGTCTATAATCCTCTCATTCCAGCATGGCATTTGTTTGTAAAGAATTTTTTAATTATTTATTAATATTGTATTTGTGAGTGGTTTCCAAAGAAGGTAGTTGCTAAACAAGGAGTGGGTCTTTATCTTAAAGTCAATCCTGCTTTTCTTATTTGTTTTGAAATGCCTCTCTCTTAACCCTAGATCTATATATTGCTAGCTGAGCTAGATTAATGAAGTTGCTGTAGAGATAGCCCCAAGCCAATTAGCTTGGTGGTGAAATCAGTCATTCCAATTGTTTCGAATAAGAAGACTCTTGACTAGCACAGATGGGAAAGGTCTTTATCTGGGCCTATCGAAGATGTGAACTGAAAATTCAGAAAACATTTATGAACCTTTGGTAGGATTTGAGCTCTTTTTCTTAAGTGTAATTGGAATGGCAGACTGGTAAGTGTGTGTAAATCTGCTTCATGTTATTTTCTGTGTTTGAGGGCTGGATTCTAGTTCAGCAGATTTTTTTAATGCAGTATCCAGGTGTGAATCTTCAAGAGTTCAAGAGTATTTCTGTTTTTACTAATTTACAAGCTTTCTGGGCTCTCATCTTTTTCTTCCTTTCTCCTCCTGTGCTTTGAACTACACATTTTTCTTTCTTTTCTCTAAAAGAAAAAAAAAATCCTACAAACTCCCAGTGGCACAGAATTTCTGCAAACACTGCTTTTCCTTTGCAGTGCTTCCTCGAATAACCATGTAAGTAGATGATATTGTGTGTTTGCAGGATCAGTCTAAGAAGTGCTGCAGAGAATGAGTATCTTAAGGGCCCGTTTCGTTCTAAGTGTTTGTGTAGATATACTCATGTGCAAACAGGAAGGAAAATCTGGTGCTACTTTGTAGACTTTTTTTTTTAAAAAAAACTGGCCTTTTTTTTTGGTGGAAGGATGAAAGATGCTAGCCATAGTTTATTTTTATTCTATCCTTGAGAACAAAAATCTCAAGAAAAAAGATCCATGATGAAATTACTTTGTAGCATCATTGATATGCTGAATGTTGATCAATGATTGTGCATGAACAGTGGGGGAACATCATGGCAGAAGGCTATCTCCCCCATCTTTCTGTCTTCAGAGATATTATTGTATGCCTGTAGAGAATGCTTGCTGAGCATCATCACTCTTGATGAGATAGGATGAGAGGGAACTCGGAGGTGAGCATTCTCTGCAGAAGCTTCCCTTCTGTACAGTGTCCTCCCATCAGATCAAACTATGTATACCTTTTTAAAATGTTTAATAAACTTTTTAAAAACATAGCTAATCCAACATGCCTTTGGGAAATGATGCAGGAGTATTTGAATGTGCAATGAATTTTCTTTCTGACTGATGATATATATATACTGCTCAAAAAAATAAAGGGAACACAAACATATAGGATCCTATACATTTGTGTTCCCTTTATTTTTTTGAGCAGTATATATAGGATGATTGCTGATTATATTTTTATTGATGTACGGATAATTTTTGTCTCATCTATAATTGTGCACTTATATTCTGCTGCTTATTGGCTGCTTGGAGTTGGAATGATTGAAGCAGCATAAAATAATTTGTAATAATTTTAAAAAGTTCCCAAACTGCAAAAATGAAAAGCAACCTCAAATCCCCCTTTCTGCAGGTCTTTTTTTCCCCAGAATTTCTGATTGTACACAAATGCAGCCAAGAATGGCTTTTCTGTTCCTAATTTCTAGCTTCCCCAGCAAGTTTGTTTACAATGTGATGTTTTCTTAATTACATGGCACATATTACCTAGCAGCATGCCAATAATGAAAATTCTCTACAGGCACCTTCTCATGGGGTTGAATTGAAGTAGGTCACCCTGTCATATTCCACATGGAAATAATTATCATCTAAAACATGTCCAGCAGGAACAGAAGTTCTCATTGGTTGCTGTAGAGAACAATCGACAACAACAACACCCCCATTATGTATATTCTCTTTTGACACACATCATGAGAATCACCAAGGCAGCAGATGGTCCACGCACCAATTCCTCCAGCGTCAAAACATTTCTGTACTTGTTGTCAGGACCTTAAACTGCACCCTGTTCTGTTTGATTATTTTCAAAGTCTGAGCTGGCCACAGGGGTTCAGATGAGAAAGATTTGCAAATCAGGAGGAAAAGATGAAAGCAGAAATGAAAAGCCAAACAACGACATTGGAGAGAAAAACCTATGAAAAAGCCCAACACTGGCTTAATGGTCCTCTTTGATTGTAAGTGTGGTGCATTCCTAGTTGCTCTAAGTAGAAGGCAATGTTTTCAGTAGTAGTCAATTAATTAAGGCCTCTGTATTAAATATTATCCGGGTTGTTTCCTTTAAAAAAACAAGAACTCAAGTTCAACTGCAGGTTATACCTTGTTATAGAAGTATGCAAAGGTAACATCAAAGGTGTTGGGAAAAGCAAAGCAGTTTTCATGTCTCAGAGATTAACTGCAGATACCCAGAGGGTGCTGAGCCCAAATCATTTCTAAATAACCTCATTCAGTTCCAGATTAAGGATCATCAGGCCAAACAACACTTCCTTTAACTTCCTCTAATACTCTTTCTGGTGGTCATCTGTCCCATGCAATTTTGGATACCACTTAAAGTCAGCATCTGCATTTTATTCTCCTCCCCCATATTTCTTCATCCCAATTCCAATCCCTGCTGTATTTTGAAAGCACAGCACAGACACTCAAGTTGCTACAATGGAAGGGAACTGAAGAAAGGGCACAAAATGACATGTTTTATTGCTCTAATTACTATATGCTTCTGTCAGGGGTGATGACTCAGACAAAGCAGTGCGGTTTGATTGGATATGGATTCACACTCAAAGAAAAGCCATTCCGAGCAAGATTAAAATTCATGCAGTAATGAGAAGCTTTGTGTTAGCTTCTTTACAATACTATTAAACACTGGATACCATGGCTTCTAAAACAGTTTCTTCTCAATATTCTTTCCTCATGCAAATGACAAGTCTTTGTGTTCCAGCAATTCTAATTCCTTTATCTTTAGTCTTGCATTTCTGTGTTTTGTGGGTATGTATATTTTTTGCCCTTTTATCCTCAAAAACCTTGACAGTGTAAGTGATTAAAATAATAAGCTTGGAGAAAAACACAATTTCAGGAAAAATAATGTTTAAGCTTATTGGATTCATACGGTTATTGCTTTTTTTGAAGCTATGCATACATTAAGTCCATATTTAGTTGAATGATAGCTACAGTAGACTTGGGGCTTATCTCTGCAATCGATATAGCATGGACTAAGGGCAGAAAATTCCTCCCCTGTCTACTTCCAAGAAGGCAATCTCTGTTCATCTTTTCTTACTAGAGATAAAAGTGTTTTCTGTCCTAGGTTGGCACAGGCAGTGCTGCTCATAGAGCTGCTGCATTTCATTTCATTGTAGCCCTGGTCCTGTGCAGCACTGGAACTATATAAGTAAAATTCATGAGCAGCAAAGTAATGCGGAATAAGTTTAGGAACAGCGGGTTTACTGTCTGGAAATGTTATGTCTTCATATTTGACAGGTTCAACAATAGAAAGGTGAACTCTCCACCATTCTTTATTATTATTTTTTAACCAGTAAAATTGACAAGTCTTCTGCTAGTTTCCCCCTCTAGTGCAAGTGACAAGAAAGATTTTTGACTTATCAATGGACATGTTGCTGAGGGAGTCAGCAAGGAAGCTGTCAGAGGTAATCAATAGAAACCAACATTATTGGATCAATGATTCTACCAAGGACTTTCAAGGACAAGAAAGATACCAACACAGTCCTTACAGAGATGGGAGAGCCACATAAAAGGGGCAATCCACCAATCAGGGGTTGTGTTGAATGTAGTCTGGAGACGACATCTGGCCACCATCATAGTCAAAGTAAGCAAAGGGATTTCTTAGACTGTCATCATTTCCAGCCAGTTTAGACATGAGAGATAAGCAGTTGAAGGATAGAAATATCTCCTAAATAGTTTTATAAGCTAGAAAAGAATGAGGGAAATGGGAAAATAGTTCTTAAAAGCCTAATTTCCTTCCTTTCTCTTGCAATGATTATTGGTCTTCTATTCCTCACTACTGAATAATTACCACTCAAGATTCCTTTCTATTTTCTAGAGATGGACTGAAGTGGGAAGTTTGTGATGGAAAAACGTAACAATTCTTCTTGGGAGGACAGATTGGAGAGTCAAATTGTCAGAGGACAGACTGGAGTGATTGGGTTAGTGGCAGCCTAACCTAAATATGCCCCCTCTTGATGGGAAGCTTTGCTAATGGCGGTTGCCACACAAACAAAAAAGGCCAAATTTGATGCCATTGAAACTGCTGTATTACAGTTAACATGCTATTTAAATCAGGGGTCTTCAAACTTGTCCCTTTCATGACTTGTGGACTTCAACTCCCAGAATTCCTCAGCCAGGCATGCTGGCTGAGGAATTCTGGGAGTTTAAGTCCACAAGTCATGAAAGGGACAAGTTTGAAGACCCCCAATTTAAATCTTTGTATTTCTCCCATGATCTTCAAGGAGGGGGGGAAATCCCTGAAGTTGCAGTTTGCATTTCAAGGGAAACTACTCTCCCCTCTCTTTGTTGTGTAGCAGCTGCTTATATTTCCCTGCAGCTCCTGCTTACATAACAAAACCTGCATTGTTAATTGCAGCAGTGTGACCTGGGGGCCTCGAAATGGAGCCACGGATGGGGAGCCTGAAGCTCTAGTAAACATTGCTATTATAAATATTGCTGTGCCAAACAGTAATTCTACTACAGCAGCTCCTCTTTGTGGGGGAAGAAATTGATCTCTAGGCTGAATGAGTGTAGAAAGACAGGTGTACAAATCCTGTTTGGAATTCAAGAAGAAGGGCAGGAGAGAAGACCTTATCTTTCCAACAGCCAATGTTCTTATTTTAAAGCCTTCACACAAAGGGCTTTCTGTCCCCATATAATTTTTCCCCTTTCTTATAATAATTATTTCACTTTGCAAAGGTCAGGGACTGAACAAGGTGATCTGGTCATATCATGACTGTAAAAAAGAAAAGAAAGAAGATAGAGGCAAGGAACCCTCACGCTGCTCCCATTACACACAGAGGAACTTTTTCAAAGTAAAAAAAGATATACCCACTGAAGAGAGACCTTATTTTTCCTTCTTTACTTAAAAAAAAAAAAAGACCTTCACAACACTTGAAGCAGCAGGAGAGTTCACTGTCTTCATATATTTTTTATTGCTTATAAGCATCATTTGACCGCATAATGGTCAGGTGAAGACACAACATAGCAGGACTAGACTCAAGATTGTTGGATCCAAAAGCCTAAATGAGCTCCCAGGACAATTGTCAGCTTTATTGGCTAGGAATCTCAACCAAATAAGTTTGTTCTACTTTTTTGTAAAACTACTTTGACAGAATCTTGCAAGTCTGAAAGTACTTCTTTCCCCAGTTTTCTTTGCAACCCAAGAAACTAGGAAGGGTCCCTTCTGAGGCTCTTGCCCTGCCAATTATCCATGGTGGGTTATACGGTCTCTTATCAGACTGTTCCCTTGGCTGCATCTCTTGGCCTAGTCTCCCAAGGACTCTTTCCCACAGACCTATCCAACAATTCAGAGTGTAATTAATTCCAGGTTGCCCTGATTTCAGAAGCAGACTTCGGACCCTGCACCTTTTATTCTTCCTAGCCTTAGAGTGGTCCTTGAGATCATCTGAGAGTTGAGATTCCTATTCTTACATTATTTCTGCAATTTCTAGACCATATAGGAATCTCAAATTCTGAAAAAAAAAATCGGAGGCTTTGCTTCAGATCAGGAAAAAACAGAGCTGGAGTTACAGTAAGAGACTCCAGTTTTTTCATCTATTTTTAATGCCTCAGTTAGGCACTGACATATTTATGAACCACAGTTCTTAGAGCAGTGTTTCTCAACCTTGGCAATTTTAAGATGTCTGGATTTCAACTCCCAGAATTTTCCAGCCAGCATGAATTCTAGGAGTTGAAGTTCAGACATCTTAAAATTGCCAAGGTCGAGAAACACTGCCTAAGACTACTGCTTAATTCAACCTGTCATTTTAAGATCTGAACAGTTTGGCTAGATATTTTTTTAAATTATTGTTCAAAATGGATGCCAATGAATAGCCGGTCTTCTCCAGAAATTCAATCAGATTCAAATTCAATCACACTATCTTTAGCAGAAGAAGATGGAAACCAAAATTATGCTGCTTTGGATATACATAAGCTTGTTCTTTGTTTTTCCACTTAAAATAACCAAGTTGACTATCTGGCCTCTAAAAAAGGTGTTGTGAACTCTTGCTATGTTTTGTACACAGTTTGCTTACTAACTTTGAAAGAGGCAGAAGAAAATTTCCCTTGCGGGAAACAATGATTCCTACAAATGTTGGGTTCTAGATTAGACACAGTATAATTAATGTGATCAAAGGAAGAAATGATGAATACACAGAGATATTTATTACCTAAAGTAAAATAATGTAATTATATTAAATGAAATTAAATTTAATTTTTTTGGCCTAGCATGCCTTCTCTTTGGAAGTGATTATATGTCATGCCACAGAACATTTGGGCTAAGGCTGTTTATGTTATTAAAAACAAAACAGAACAAAACCCTATCCAATTTAAATAGTATTTGTTTGGTTTTGAACTAAAACAGATTATATGCTGGAAAGAGCAGAATTTAAAGTGAAGAATAATGCTGCTTTGATCCTCTTTATGGAGTGATAATGCTCAGTGGAAGACTTCACTTCTTCATCAGAAGAAATCTGGTTATTTGAAAGCTATCTTTAGAATCTTTGATTAGTATTTTTGTTCTTGTCATGAAAGAATAGTTGAAATGCTTCTGAAAAAAACCCACAATTTTCTGGAATACATTTGAAAATTTAACAATAGGTGATGATCTTGGAGAAGCTGGATATCTCAAAAGCCCAACTCAACCCTAAAACTTTTTACTTCAGTTTACTTGTGGTTCAGTTTCAATTAACAGTCAACAACAAAATACAGAAAAGCTGCGGCAGCTTTCTTTTGCCTTTGTTTTTCAAAGTTTTTTTTAAATTGCATAAATACATCTCAAGACAGCCCCCCCATTTTCTAAAAATATGGTACCTTAAGAGCTGTTGAAAAGTATTCAACATAATAAAAACAATATAAGCATCTCTTGCTTATTACAATAGCATAGCTTGTGGCAAGTTGATGTTTTACTAATTCTGTAGCCAGTAGATTATTTTTTATTGTTTTCTTCCTTTCATGTTGTTATCATGATGGTTCTAGTTGTGTCATTGCAGCCAACATTTTAGCAATATGCTAGTTGACTGCCTTTAACCCGTGTGGCTGAGTGATTTTTATTCCTTTGACTTTTAATATTTTTATGGTGTACAAAGCTTTAAGATTGTCTCTGAAAGTGAGCTAGTCTACAACTGGGCATTATTGTTTTTTTTTTAAAGAAAAAATATATAAAGTTTATGCTCTTCTTTCCTGACAACAGATTTATGAGTTTCTCCAGCACCGAAAGTAAATATTTTAAATGACTTAGCAGGCAGCTGCCTGTTGAACTTCGGAACAAGCTATTCTTAGGAGCAAAAATAATGAAGTTTGTCTTGTAGACTACAACTGAAGGATTGGAAATTTCTAAAGGACAAAGAAAACAACTGCCTAAAAATTGGAGTCTGATATGAAAATCTAAATTGAGCTTTCCATTCTGAGATCACTGATTTTTGTGGCTTCCAAATGACAATCAGATTAATAAAAGCAGATTAAGATTACCAAGAAATGAACTTTGAAATGAAAAAATATAAAAATAATCAAGGACATTCCTGATCCACATAGGAATGAGCTTCATTGCATCATAAAATAAACTTTTAGCACTTGAAACATTGGTTACCAGAACTTCCTTTAAGGCTCAGAAAATCGTCAATGTCAAATACATTTGCAAGATTTTGTTTCCCATTCTGGGGTAAATACATTCAGTACATTTACATACATATCAATATTGTCAGAATTTAGACAGTTTTTCCCAATTTTGCCTGGTTGCAGTAGCTGTTCATCCTGGGACTATCTGGAGAACATGATTTGAGAAAGATTAATATGAGTTTAGGAGCTCAAGAATACCTGAAAGTTCTGAATTGTTTATAGAATTTTATATGCATACTTGATTGATTAAATCAGTTACATTTTGTAATTCTTGAAAACTCACTTAAATTAATGCTTATAGAAATTCCAATAAAGCAAGCAATACAAAAACCACTCTCTATCTAATCCAGTGGTGGTGAACCTATGGCACGGGTGCCAGAGGCGGCACTCAGAGCCCTCTTTGTGGGCATGCGCGCCGTTGTCCCAGTCCCAGGCCTTCAGTTGGGTTTTATAAAACCTTTTCACTTTAGGCTTCCGCTGCCGTGTGCAAAAAAAAAAAAAGCTTCAATCAGTCAATTTCAAATTCTCGCAGGGGAAAAAAAGATCTTGCAAAGTTGGAATTGATTGATTGAACTTTTTAGTCCCATCCAGTCTGCCGTTACCACCACAGCCACGCCCACCCAATGGGCCACACCCAGCCAATGGCCACACCCACCCAGCACCCAACGATGCATAAATGGGTTTTGGGTTGCAGTTTGGGCACTCAGTCTCTAAAAGGTTCGCCTTCACTGATCTAATCCATTTTTTCGTTTGACTGACAGAAAAAAAACACAATAGAACTTCAAGTATACATCTTCAAGTATTTCTCAAAGCTTGAAGCTAAGTTTTTGCCAAGTAGATCCTGTTAACTAGTGAAGAGGGATTGAAGACACTATATTTTCAAATTAATTATTACAACCTCAGGGAATGTTATTCTACCTTCTATGGATTTGTATGTTGCTCCGTAAATAAGCAAAGTTCTACCAGGTAAGAATATATAGTCTGTTATGTCCTGAGCCTTGCAAGCGGGCTCGGGGCGTTGCAGGCGGTCCCGGACAGGTGCAAGCTGCCCAGGACCAGACAGGCTGTCGCCAGTGCTTGTGCGCATGCGCAAGTGCTGGCGCACAAAAAGTAACACATTGACCCGGGAGAGTCCTATAAAAGGAGGCTGCGAGGTGTGGGCTTTTGCCGCCATATACCAATGTAAGCTGAACTGAAGAATAAAGGTTTCCTGAGAACTACAACTGCTTCTCGTGTTGTACCATTTCGCGACGGACTCAACACTGGCAACGAAGGTGGGATTGCCTTACATCGGAAAAGCGAAGGTGTAAGCTTACCCGAGTGAGTCCGGAGCGGCAGGAACGGTGTTGACTCGGCAGCTACCCGCCAATCCATCGTGCATTCGGGGGTAGGCTGGCTGATAGACCCTTCCTGATACGAAATGGCGAAGATTGGAAGGCTTTCGGAATTCGACGTCTCACACCCAGAGAGGTGGGAGTCCTATGCAGCCAGGGTGGAAAACTACCTCAAAGTGAACCAGGTGAGGGAAGAGAGCTTGAAGGCTGCCACCCTGCTGTGCGTTTGCGGTCAAGACGCATTCAAAATAGCTGAGAACCTCGCAGCACCTGTTCCTTTAGAGTCTGTCAGCTACGCAGATCTAAAAAAGTTACTGAAGGAGCACTTCCAACCTAAGACGTCCGTCATCGCGTGGCGCCACACCTTCGAGCAGAGGGATCAACGACCCGGGGAATCGGCCAAGGAGTACATTGCCGCACTGAGGAAAGCCGCCAAACATTGCGAGTTCAAGGACCTCAAAGAACGACTGAGGGACCGATTTGTGTGTGGGCTAAGGCATCGAAAGTTGCAACAGAGACTTTTCGCCAAGGAGGACTTGTCTTTCCAAGATGCCTTGAGAGAGGTCACCGCAGAAGAAACAGCGGGCGGTGCCATCAAGAACATGCGGCCGATCAGAAACAGTCCAGATGCTGCATCCGTGCACCAGGAAGAAGTCCAAAGAAACTCCGAGGAGGATCCGGACGAGGAAGTGGACCGTCTCCACCCCACAAAGGAAGGAAAACCAAGAGAAGCTCTTCAGATCTCCCCAAGTGCATCGGTTGTGGAGGTCGCCACAAGAGAGCCGACTGCAAGTTCCGCTCCGCTATCTGCCGGGCATGCGGAAAACAAGGACACATTGCAGCTGTGTGCCTGGGCCGTCAGAAGGGTACAACCTCAGGAAGAATTGCGCCTGAAAGGTACCAAGGTCCCCAGCCAGAATAGGGTGGGGTTTTGTGCTTCGCGAAGAAGCATCTACAGGACAGGCACACACAAGCCCATTAAGAAAAAGCTGTCACTTAAGGTGAAGCTACAAGGGGTTCCATTAACTATGGAACTGGACACGGAGTCTGCACTTTCGATCATTTCTATGCACACATTTAGGAAGATTTGTTCCGGCAGCGGAACCCAGGCCAAGTTGAGGCCTTCTGACATTGTGCTAATGGATTTTCAAAACTCCAGAGTGTTTGTTAAGGGGGAGGCCACCCTTAACGTACAGTATAAGGATTTTGAGGGTCCACTAGACCTACTAGTAGTAGAGGGTGAACGAACGAGTCTCATAGGACTTGAGTGGTTTGAGGCCTTGGGGATACACGTCACAGGGCTCAACAGCCTACAAACATTCGACCTACAGGAAGTCTGCAAAGAATTTGCAGACGTTTTCAGCCTCCAGCTGGGCACATACAAAGGACCCCCTGTGTCATTAAAGTTAGACCCCACGGTCACTCCCATTAGAATTAAAGCAAGAAGGGTCCCTTTTGCTTTAAAGAGTAAAATTGACACTGAGTTGGACAAACTGATCCAACAAGGAATTCTAGAACCTGTTGACTCCAGTCCATGGGAGACCCCTATTGTCACGCCTCTTAAGGCAAATGGGGACATTCGCATCTGTGCTGATTACAAATGCACTCTAAATAAAGCATTGCAGCAACATGCCTATCCTGTTCCTGTGGTCAGTCATATCCTGGCCTCCCTCAAGGGGGGGGTGCGTTTTTGCAAAGCTTGACCTAGCTCAAGCATATCAACAGCTGCCTGTTGATGATGACGCTGCTATAGCTCAGACTATTGTGACCCACAGAGAGGCTTTCAAGGTAAAGAGACTTCAATTTGGAGTAAATGTCGCTCCTGGGATTTTCCAAAGCGTAATGGAAAACGCACTACGGGGTATACCAGGGGTTTGCCCCTATTTTGATGATGTCTTAATTGCAGGAGACTCCACACACATTCTAGCTGAAAGGCTAAGGGCTGTCCTGTTAAGGTTCAGGAAAACAGGACTCAAACTCAAGAAGGACAAATGTAAAATTGGGGTACCTTCTACTGAGTTTCTGGGATTCAAAATTGATGCTGCTGGGATTCATCCTGCTGAATCCCAACTAAAAGCCATTATGCAAGCCCCTAGGCCAAAGTCTAAGGCCAAACTGCAGGCTTTTCTGGGCCTTCTGAATTTCTACAATTCCTTTCTTCCACGTAAGGCTAGTGTATCTGAGCCTCTTCACAGGCTATTAGATAAACAGGCAGTGTGGCAGTGGTCACAAACACATGAGGCTAGTTTCAATGAGGTCAAGGCCTTACTCACTTCTAACAGTGTACTTGCACACTTCAATGAGTCCCTTCCTGTGTGCATCGCTTGTGATGCTTCCCCTTATGGGGTGGGTGCTGTACTGAGCCACCTCAGGGCTGATGGAACTCAGGTTCCTGTTGAATATTACTCCAGGACATTGTCTGCAGCTGAGCGCAACTGTGCTCAAATAGACAGGGAGGCCTTAGCTGTTGTTTCTGGAATTAAAAAAATTCCATGATTTTTTATATGGTAGGCAATTCATGGTCTTCACTGACCATAAGCCTTTGCTGGGACTGTTTACCACACGTAAACAAACTCCCCAAATCATCTCTCCCAGGATGCTCAGGTGGTCTATCTTTTTGTCTGCATATGATTTTTCCCTACTTCACAAGCCTGGGAAGGAAATGGGCCATGCTGATGGCCTCAGTAGATTACCCCTGCCAGAAATAGAGGCTGACCCCGCACCAGCCATCAATATTCTCTCCATTCAAGCTTTGCCCGAGTCCCCCCTGAATGCCAGGGATGTAGCCGCTGAATCAGGCACAGATCACACACTTTCACGTGTCCTTTCTTGGGTTTTGTCTGGAAGGCCTGAGCACTGTCCTAGTCCTGAGTTTCAGAGTTTCTGGTCTAAAAGGAACGAGTTGTCCACCTCTCAGGGTTGTCTGCTTTGGGGAAGCAGGGTTGTCATTCCCACCTCAATGAGGACTAGGGTCTTAGATTCCTTCCACGAGGGTCATCCTGGCATTGTTCGTATGAAGGCTCTTGCACGCAGCCACTTGTAGTGGCCAGGGGTAGACAAAGACATAGAAGCTAAGGTGCATGCTTGCCACCTTTGTCAACATTCATGCCCTGAAATGCTCCAAGCTCCTGTGCATAGATGGGAGGAAACACAGTCTCCATGGTCTAGGGTGCACATTGACTACGCTGGGCCCTTTCAGGGTCAATTCTTCTTGGTCCTCGTTGACAGCCATTCAAAATGGCTTGAGGTTGTACCTGTCTCTTCCACCACCACTGCAAAGACTATTCAGGTACTGAGGGGGATTTTTGCTGCACACGGGCTCCCAGACGTCATTGTGTCTGACAACGGCCCTCAATTCACTTCCTCCAAATTCCAAGCTTTCTTGCAGGCTAACATGATTCGTCATGCCACTTCTGCACCTTTCCATCCGTCCACCAACGGTATGGCTGAATGCATGGTTCGCATCACCAAGGACGCCTTGAAGAGGCTCACCTACGGGGACTGGCATCACAGGTTGGCTGACTTCCTCCTTTCTTATCGCACCACACCATCCACTTCTACAGGGAGAAGCCCAGCTGAACTTCGTTGGGGGCGCAAACTGACTACCAAGCTTGACCGGTTGCATCCGGACAGACTGCCTCCTTCTGTCTCACACCCCAGGGCACCTAGGCAACTACTTGTGGGTGCCCCGGTTTGGACTCGTAATTACGGGCCTGCTCATACATGGGTCCCCGCATCTATATCCAGGGTCACAGGTCCTCTATCCTACGAGGTATCCCTGGACAACAGTCGTGTCCTGCGTCGGCACATTGACCAACTTCGCCCTAGACGGGACCTTCCCGCTGAGACTCCTGTGTCTTTTCCAGGGGGGAGGGGGAGCCCTTTGGGCAAAGGGAGAGGCATGGAA